AGCTTCTCACATTTCACATTCCTTTTATGTAGAATTCAAAGTGTCTCATAACTATAGTTGACAACATTTTTAAAATGTCTCATTGATACATCAAATAATGGGGGTATCACATAGTCCACAGTGTGGTACTTTAAGTGAAGTATAATATAAACAACAGTCTGCTACAGTTCCACTCATTGGCAGTCAAACTGCAGTTGTTTTTAAAGCATAACGAGATAAGAGAACTGAACAAAAAATAATTTTAAAAAATGATTCTTCCTGCAAATTTTCAAGAAACTTTAGGCCAAAGGAAATTCATGATTCCTATACAGAGAAGTGGCTCATTTGTACACTATTTTTATTGATAAATGGTGTGGAAGTCAATATTCCAACTACTAATATTAGTATTCAATATTATTGTAAATTTTCAAAAGGCAAGTAAAGATGATCTTTTATAGTTTTCTGCCTTCAGAAGTGCTTTTAGTTGAAAGGAGGCAAAAAAAAGCTTCCACAGAGGTTAGGTGATGATGCATTACTTCAGTTTGAAATCGCTCATCTTGCTTAGACTGGAACATAAAGCTTTTAAGGATAAAATGTGTAGAATGTGGGCCTTCCCTGGTGGTGTAGTGGGTTAAAGCACAGCACTAAGAAGCTAAAGCCAGTTCAGCATGAGTTGGATCCCCATCCCCGGAGGTGACCCACATGGCGCAGCAGACCTCTCCTGGCCTACCCGATGCTCCCCTCAGCAGTGGACTTTGTCGATCTGCCTTTTCTGCTCCCCACTCTGTCTGGGGTGAAGCCTCTCACCGCCCCCACACCTCTGGCCTGTACCCCAGTTCTGTGTGCATAAATATTTTTTTTTAAAAAAAGTACAATGTTTCTGCCATACAATGATGGATAAAGCTGGGTTAAAATAATGGAAAATGGTGCCTCCTGAAAATGTTTAAAAATTGGGGAAAAAAGACTTTTATCTGTGGAATATCCATTGTCCTGCTGTTCTCCAGGATATTCATAATAGATCTATACTAGAATTTGTATACATGCTTAATTCAAAATGACATATTTTTAAACTTTTAGTACGAGACAAAAGCTCATGAATAAAAATTTGATCACATTTCGCACGTGTTTTCAACCAACACAGATTATATTGGCAAGGATTTATCAGCAAAGGACGTTTTTCCTTTTGCTTGCCAATGAACAATTTTGCCCCTCAGCGCATCTGTGACTGCACCACTTTCTATAGTACCAAATGGCCCCATGAATGCACCAGTTTAATTGCACAGTCTGTTGCATGACTGCTCCCCGACACAGAACTTTTTAAGCAGTGCTGAGAAAAAAATAATTGCATGTCACAGTGCTCTACTTCCTAAAAATATTTTAGAATTTTTATTTATTTATGCATACAAGATATGGGGTGCAGGCCAGAGGTGAGGGATAATAGGGGGTCAGAGAATTCACCAGATTTTCCAAAGAGGTTAACTAATGGGTAAAGGACTACATATTTTTAAGTGTGATACTTATCACCTAATTGCCTATTTGAAAAAGGAAAAGAAACTTTAAATGTGAGTCATACAATAAGTGCACTGCTCCAAAGCCCCATCAACACAGTAGACAGGACATTATCATTTCACTCCCCTTTTACATCAATCCTTTATTACCTGTCCCAACCTGTTTATTCCACTATACATTGGTCACTTGCAGTATTGCAACAAGTACTTGGTCCAATTTCAAATAAGAAGTTTCTCTTCAGTTGACTTAAAAACAATTCTTGTTGGCCCTCCCTAGTGGTGCAGCGGGTTAAATCACTGCACTGAGAAGCTTAAGCCACTTCCCCATGAGTTCGATCCCCGCCTGCCCCGGAGGTGATCCACATGGCGTGGCAGACCTCTCCTGACCCACCCGCTGCTCCCCTCAGCAGTGTGCTTCGTGGATTGATCTGCCTGTTCTGCTCCCGCTCTGTTCCTTGTGAGTCCCCTCACCCTCCATATCTCCGGCCTGTACCCCAGTTCTGTATAAATAAATAAATCTTTAAAAAGTATATTTAAAAAAAAAACAATTCTTGTTTTTAAACATTTTTTTAAGATTTATTTATTTATTCACATGGGGTACAGGCCAGAGATGTGGAGGGTGAGAGCCTTCACCAGAGACAGAGTGGGGAGCAGAACAGGCAGGTGGACGAAGTACACTAATGAGGGGAGCAGCGGGCGGGTCAGGAGAGGTCTGCCGCACCATGTGGATCTCCTCCTGGGCAGGCGGGGATCGAACTCATGCAGAAGTGGCTTAAGCTTCTTAGTGCAGTGCTTTAACCCGCTGCACCACCAGGGAGGGCCCAATTCTTGTTTTTAAATAGGAAGAAGTTTTTTTTAAGATTTCAGTAATCCCTCTCATTTTTTCAATTTACTTAGTTACTCATAACAGACCAGAGGTGCAGGAGTGGTGAGGAGTTTCACCAGAGACAGAGTGGGGAACAGAACAGGCAGATCTACTGAAATACACTGCTGAGGAGAGCAGTAGGGAGACAGAAGAGGGCCACTGTGCCCTGTGGTCATTCCCTGGCAAGGGATGGACTCGTGCTGCAGTGGCTGTAATGGTTTCATAGTGCGTCACTTTAACCTGTTGCACCACCAGGGAAGGCCCAGAAGATACATTTTTAACTGATAAAAACAAGGTATTGTAAGCACATAGAACAGTGCATTGTTGTCGGGGTGCCCAGGACCCTAGCCCCATGATTCAGCAGCCAAGATGGCGCCTGGCCTTTAGCCAGTGCGGTTGAGCTGGTGAAAAACAAAATACGTCAACACCCGCCTGTATACGGAAGTTAAATCTTATTGGATATGCTTTTGCGTGATCAATGTATGCTCGCTGTGTGTCCTGCCTAAATATGGTTGTTATACACGTGAGCAGTGCTCTAATTCGCCAATGAATGCTATTTAAGCAATGTTCTTCCCCTGAGAGGGAAAGCAAGCAAGAGCAAGAGCGAGAGCAAGTGAGGAGGAGAGCGCGCGCGCGAGAGGGAGAAGAATAAAGGATCCAGAAGAAGATATATCGTGGATCTTTCTGCTGGCAGAGTGCGTCGCAAGTGGTGCCGAAACCCGGGAGCTTCTTGCAAAAGTTTTAAGTAGTAACAGGAAAGGGCAGCCCTAACGTTCGCGGTTTAGCGACTGTCCGGAAATTCCAGCAAAAACTAGGGACACGCGGAAGGCGGTCCAATTTCAGCAAAAACTAGGAACATGTGGAAGGCCGTCCAATTTCAGTAAAAACTAAGGACACGTGAAAAGCGGTCAAATAGAACTGACGGTACAAAAGCAGAAAGGGGACTGATTTACTGTGCAGCAATGGGGTCTGTACTATCTGGGAAGGTTAGAGAACAGCGTTCACAGTTCCATACGGCTGATGATTCAGATGGACTCACAGGAGAAGAGCTAGAAGTGAGAGTAAAAACCCTAAATATCAAGGAAGCCATGGCGCCTTCAGTGCCAACCCTCGCCTACAACCCCAGCTGCACTACTGTTCCTTGTCCCTGCATGCAACACAGTAAATTCTCCAGGTGGGAAGACATGGGGGGGCGAAGGGGGTTCTTACTTCCCTGTGGTTGAGGATCCACAAACTCAGGAAAGGTATCACCAGCCTCTAGATTTTAAATTAGTTAAACAATTAAAGGAGGCAGTATGCGCCTATGGCCCATAGGCTGCGTTCACAATTTCAGTGGTTGAGTCAGTAGGAGGACTTAATTTGGCCCCTCATGATTGGGAAAATGTGGCCAGAGCCATCCTCTCAGGTGGCCAATACTTGATGTGGAAAACCACTTGGCAGGAGTTTTGTTTAGATACTGCTAGGAGAAATGCAGCTGCAGGCAATCCAGGGTGGAATCTAGCTAGACATGATGATGGGACAAGGTAATTTTGATGATATTCAGGCACAAATCAGGTACCCTCTTGCTGTTTACCTACAAATTGCAGCTGCAGCTGTTAAGGCCTGGAAGACCTTACAAGGCGCTGGGGACCTACAGGGCCAGTTATCAAAAGTAATACAGGGACCAAATGAGCCCTATTCAGAATTTGTGGACCGGTTGATACAGACAGCATCTCGAATTTTCGGGGATTCTGACCAGGCCATGCCCTTGGTCAAACAGTTAGCATGTGAACAAGCTAATAAATGGTGCAAAGACGCTATTCGCGCCTGGAAAGGAAAAGATCTACCCACCTACCTAAGGGTCTGCAGAGATATCAATGACTCTGTGGTACAGGGACAGGTTTTGGTTTCAGCTATAATGCAAGGTCTGGGAAAAATGTCTCAACCACTAGCCCGCTCGGGAGCATGTTTCTCCTGTGGCCAGGCTGGTCACAGGAAAAACCAGTGTCCTAACACAAGGGTCGAAGTGGAGAAAAAAACAGGGCTCTGTCCTCGTTGCAAAAAGGGCAATCATTGGTCCAGTGTATGCCAGTCAATACGGGACAAGGAAGGAAATTATTTAGGTCCCAACCCTACGGTGTCAAAAAACGGGAAGACGGGCCGACCCCAGGGCCCAAGACAAATGTACGGGGTGGTCCAACAGGTGCCGCGAACATGGCACCCACAGACCCCAGGGGGGGGAGAACAAATACGAAGGGCCATGGCAGGAAGTGCAGGATTGGACATCTGTGCCACCACCAGATTGGTCTTAACTCCTGAAGTGGGAGTACAAGCTATAGAGTCGGATTGGGACGGGATCATACCAAAAGATGCAGTGGGATTATTGTTGGGAAGAAGCTCCACTACCCTGCGGGGTCTCGTTGTCCATCCTGGAGTCATAGATTCTGACTTCACTGGTAAAGATACTGATATCTTCCCCTAAGGGTATTACAGTCATTTCCCCAGGGGACCGCATTGCTCAAATGCTCATTTTACCAAGAGCACATTTGGCCTGGAAGAGCAACGGGATGCACAGAGGGAATGCGGGATTTGGTTCCACTGGGGACCCTTTGGCCTGCTTTACAGTGGGCCTTGGGGATCGACCCCTATTAAAACTTACCATACGAGGAATGGAGTTCCAAGGATTGTTAGACACAGGGGCTGATAAGAGCATCATTGCCTCCATAGATTGGCCAAAGGGTTGGCTGCTTATCAAGGCCAATCAAACACTCCGAGGACTGGGCATAGCCTCCAGTCCCAATCAGAGCGCAGCGTCCCTACAGTGGAAGGACAGGGAAGGTCATTCAGGAGTTTTCCAGTCATATATTTGTGAGGTGCCCATTTCTTTATGGGGCCAAGATGTTCTACAACAGATGAAGGTCAAGTTAACTACTGATGAGATATATCAGGGGTCCCTCGTTAAAGGAATGATGAAAAAGATGGGATACCTAGATGGGTGTGGACTGGGTAAGTCCCAGCAAGGCCTCCTTCAGCCTCTGCCAATGCCAGCTCCAAAAAATGACCACAAAGGTCTGGGTTTTTCCTAGGGGCCATTGTGGATCATACAATTCCTATATCTTGGAAAGATGATGTACCTCGCTGGATTCCACAGTGGCCCTTAACAAAAGAAAAATTGGAGGCTGTTCATATCCTAGTAAAGGAGCAAGTTAATGCAGGACACCTGCAATGTTCCACCTCTCCTTGGAACACGCCCATATTTGTCATTAAGAAAAAATATGGAAAGTGGAGACTGTTGCAGGATCTAAGAGCTGTTAATCGTCAGATGTTCACAATGGGCCCTATTCAGTGCAGCCTGCCTTTAGTGTCAGCCCTACCCAGCGGTTGGCCTACTGTCATTGTGGATGTAAAGGATTGTTTTTTCTCCATACCATTACATAAGGGGGATTGCTGTAGGTTTGCCTTCACACTACCAGCTATCAATCACTCTCAAACTGATCAAAGATTTGAATGGACAGTACTGCCACAAGGCATGACAAATAGCCCAACATTATGTCAAATGTATGTGGACAAAGCCTTGTCCACTACTAGAAAAAATATCCAAATTTAAAAATCTACCACTATATGGATGATATTCTTTTATGCCATTCTAATAAAAACATGTTGGATGAGGCCTTGACCTTCATGGTCAAGGCCCTACAACTCTGGGGACTAAATATAGCCCCTGACAAAATGCAGACAGGGTATGTACAGGAATACCTGGGCACACGGCTGGCTGCTACCACAGTTCAACCTTTAAAAATCTCCCTTCGGGTAGATCATCTACAGACCTTGAACAATTTCAAAAATTACTGGGAGACATAAATTGGATCAGACCCTATCTAAAATTCTCCACTGGAGAACTAAAACCTTTGTTTGATATCCTCAAAGGAGACCCAGATTTAAACTCTAAAAGTAGTCTGACTCCCGAAGCCCGACGTGCCATTGCTCTTATACAACAGCACTTACAATCGTGTCAGACAGATCATTGTGATCCTTCCCAGCCGTTACAACTTATCATTCTCCTGGAAGGCCACAGTCCTTCTGGGGTCATTTGGCAGGGGGCCCCATTACAGAGCATCCATTTAGCTAGTTCTCCGTCAGAAATGCTACAACCCTATCCGGCTGCGGTGTCTCAATTTATTCTAAAGGGCATAGAGACCTGTATTGTCACTTTTGGCGTTCATCCCGATGTGATTATCACCCCTTATACCAGCGAGCAATTATGCTGGCTTGTCAATAATGATTCCTTTTGGGCCATTGTATATTGTACCACAGACGCCATTTTTGATAACCACTATCCAAAACACCTCTGGATTCAATTCTGTAAAAACAATTCAGTCATCGGGACTTCCGGAAGATGGCGGCAGAGTAAAGACGCCGAGATCACCGCGTCCAAG